CCCTGGCGTCAGGCGCTGTGACGTTTGTGTTTAGTCTCCGATGTAAAGCATATGCTCTCGTATTTCATGAGGTTGGGAAAAGAAAATCTTGGAGTGTGGGGAAGGGAGACGAATGAAATCCTGCTCATTTGGATTGCGCCTTCTTGAGTTGTTCCCACATTACCCTCCCCACCCCACCCCCACTCCCTGAATCAAAGCCATTCTCTTTCCGGCCCCTGGTGGAACAGATTGCCCACATCTGACCTACCACTGCCCCGTCCATAGCAGGTGGCCTTGTGACTAGTGGTTCCTTCTGTTTTGTAGACATGTCTCAGAGGCAATGATTGGTGTTGGATGGAGGCAGACTGAGAATGTTAGAATGCCAGGGGCTGACGTGAGCAAGGAGCCTCACGGAGGACTATGAGATCCTTTTGTTGTTGTTATGTTCTGTCAAGTCGCTTGTGACTCATAGTGACCCTATGTACAATAGCCCTAAACCCTGCCCTATCCTGTGACAACCTCACTGTCTCGGACTCACCTACATCCATTACCCTAATCACAGAATCAATCCGTCTCATTGAGGATCTTCCTCTCCTGCGCCATCCCTCTACCCTCCTAATCATAATGAGCCTCTCCAAAGACTGGTCCCTCCTTGCAACATGCCCAAAGTATGTCAGATGAAGCTTCAGAATCCTTGCCTCTCAGGAGCAGGCTGGTTTCACCTCTCCAGGATGAAACTGTTTGTTCTCCTAGCATTCGGTGCTCTTCTCCAGCACCACAGCTCAAAGGCATCAATTCTTTTTCTATCATCCCTAGTCACTGTCCACCTCTCTGAAACATAGGATGCAATTACAAAGACTATGGCCTGGATCAGGCACACTTTAGTCTCCAGCCTGATATCATGCTTCTCAGTACTCCAGAGATGTCCCTGACAGCTGACTTTCCCAATGTGATTCGTCTCTTAATTTCCTGACTGCTAGTACCAAGACTGTTGTGGAGCCAAGTAAACAAAAACTGTGAAGGCACAGTTCAATCTCTTCACTATCCATCCTGATGCCGCCAATCAGCCCAGTGGTGAGAATCTTTGTTTTCTTGATGTTGAGCTTCAATCCATACTGAAGACTGCAGACCTTGACCTTCCTGCAGCAAGTGCTTCAGGTCTTCCTCAGTCCAGCAATCAGATTTGTGTCATCTGCATAACACAGGTAGTTGATGATTCTTCCACCAATCCTGATGCCACATTCTTCCTCATACAGACCAGTGTCCTAGATGATCTATTCTGCATACAGATTGAAAACGTATGGAGACAGAATACATCCCTGGCGGACCCCCTTCCCGATTTTGAACCATGCAGTGTCTCCTTGCTCTGTTCTGACATCCTTTTAGGTCGAGGAGTAACATGGAGAATTGGTTAATAAAGACCCTCCCAGCCCTGTTCCTTGTCTGTAACAGTGGTGGCTATTGCTTTATTCTGTTTTTGAAGGAATTTGGTAGGCAGACATTGGTGAGACCCGAGTAAATGCTCCTTCCCTGCTCTTGTTAATTTTTTTCGTTTTATTAATTTTAATGAATGTTTACAGATATTTTGGATTTCCATTCATTAATTGTTGCATTTTTCTCCCTGCCCACCTTTCTCCCCAAGGTTCACTCTTCTCTTTGAAAAGTAAAAGAAAAATTATTTCATTGGTATACAATCCCCTCCCGCATACACTCCACTATGCAACCTTCATGCTGGACTCTTGTCATAACTATAATACCTAATCATATACCACTTTTAAACAGTTCTCTCTTTTATTTTTATATCCCCCCTCATGCATTATGGAGTTTCCCACACTTTTTTTATTATTATTATTAATTTTAGTGAAAATTTATAGAGACTTTGGGTTCCATTCACTCATTGTTGCACTTTTCTCCCTGCCCACCCCTCTTCCCCAGTACACTTTCCTCTTTGAAAAGTAAAAGAAAAAGCCTTTCATTGTTAGACAATCCCTTCCTCCCCCAGTCCAGTCCACTATGCAGCCTTTGTTCTGGACTCCTGTCATGACAATAATACCTAACCACATATCCCTTTTAAACAGCTCTCTCCCTCATCTGTTTCAATGCAGTGTACATTATTTATCCCATCTTTCTCAGTCTCCCCCCCAACCCCAATGTCAGTCCTGTTTTTCAATAGTGGCACTATGCAGTATTTGTCCTTTTGTGACTGAGATATTTCACTCAGCATAATGTCCCCCAGGGTCACCCATTTTAAATAATATTTCATTAGTTCCTTGTTTTTCAATGCAGTATAGTGTTCCATTGTGTGAATATACCACAGCTTCTCTATTCATTTGTTTGTTGATGAGCACTTAGTTTGTTTCCAACTCCTTGCTATTGTTCACAAAGCCGTGATAAACATGGGTGTGCAGTTAAAAATTCTTTGATTGTCTTCTTTAGCTATTTCAAAATTACAAAGTATTGATAAAATTCTTCCGTACTGATTTAAATGTTATCACTACAACTACCAACAACCAGCACTAGAACTTTTCTTTCCAAGGGTTGATACACTTGTTGAGCGGGTACTGGGACAACTCCCTCCTCCTTTCTCTCCCTGTGGGAACAGGGGGGAGATGAAATGCCTCACCCTTTGTTTGCCACTTGGTTTCTAGAGCTGTGCCTGGACTGCTTAGCATCCTCTCTGAGTAGCCGTTAGGTCGAGAATAGGTGCGTCAGACGAGAGCTGGCGTGAGAACAAAATAGAACTACAGAATGCAGAGGTGGAAAGAAAGCATCTTGGAGGAAGATCCCCCTGCCACCTGGTCCCCCTCGCAGTGATGTCCTGCAGCAGAAGAATTGTGGGCTTCCCTGGTGATGAGCTCAGGCAATGATGGGAAAGAGACTGCACCCCTTCGGAGAGAACCCATTCCAGAACGGGAAAGCTAAGATAGCAAGAGATGGACATTATATATATAAGAACAGTTTCAAACAAGGGGCACATTATGAGGGGGGCAGGGAAGAGGGTAGAAAGGAGGAATGTGTAATAATAAATACATTTTAAAAAATAATAAAAGCTACTGTTGTGCAAAACGAGAAGATAGGCATGGGTGATGCTCAGTCCTGATGATGATGAGGGAGGGATGGATGACTCTGGTTGAGAACAGATTAGCCTGTTTCTAGTGCAGGTGAACTGTTAGTGTAATGTCACTCCAATAAATGGACACTTGAGACACAGGAATAGCATTTAATACGGAGTTTCAAGAAAATAGGTAGGTTGTTGTTTGTTGGTTTTTTGTAGATGTTGTTGTTGTTATGTGCCATCGAGTTGCCTACGACTCATAGCGACCCTAAGTACAACAACCCTAAACCCTGCTCTATCCTGTGCCAATTGCACTGTCTCTTACACTCCCACCCCAATTACCACAGTGACGGAATCAATCCACCTCATAGAGGGTCTTCCTCTCCTACACTGTCCCTTCACCCTCTCAAGCATGATGTCCCTCTTTAAAAGGCTTAGTTCATGCACTAAAGCTAAAGTTGGCCCTCTTGTCTGTGGAAACTGTCTTTGCTTCTCTCAATGGCAGAAACCAAGCCAGCTTTAGACGTAGGGGCTGGGTTCTGGTTCCCACTTTATCCCACTCTTTGTTAGCCAAGGTGCTTGTTTCATTTTCTGAACTGTTTTTGAGGTTGTTAAAGATGGAACACCTCAAATATACAGTAGATGTTTACTATAAAAACTATGAATGCCGAGATGCAAATACAAGTGAAATGGTAAATTGGCAGTCATGGTATGTAAGCTTGATTTGTGGGCAAACTATCTGGTAATCATGAGCATTACTTTTTCCCAATGCTGTGCTTTCTGTGAACAGGGTTCTTATCTCAATATTAAATCATCATTAGAATCTGATGTAAGTCATGGAATTAGTCTAACATTTAATATACTTATAGAAATGCAATTTAAATAAAAATTTTTAAAAGCTAATCCAATGGCTTATGGTTGGATTACATGCATAATTGGATTTTGTCTTTTAGTGGAATTGGGGAGTGGGAAGGGAGAAAGAAGGAAGAAAAAGTGAGGTCAAGACTAGGGTAACCTAAGAGCCTGTGCTATTAGGGAGAATCCTGTCTTGTGGGAGTTTTACATCAAATCCACTTGTCTTTCAACCCAGAAAGCATTAGGATGTGTGCCATTTGCTAGAGTAGTGAGAAAAAGAATAAAATCTGTGTCTGCATCCTCACCTTCTTTACTCGAGGTGAGCTTTGAGAATTCCCGGGAAATGTGCAGAAGAGAGATTTACGTGGAATGGTGTCTCCCGAGCCTGGGGCTCCGTGGAGAAGGCGGACCATGATAGTGAGAAGAATTCCATCAAAGTTATTTTTCCCACTTTCTTTCCAGAGTTATTTTTTTAAATATCTGATGAGATGAAATAAAGAAGAGAAGCTACTTGAGCTTGTTGACTTTATAACCCAGGGTCTGCTTGCAATGCAAATTGAAAATGCATTAGAAGGTGATTAAGATAAAAAAGTCTTAAAATGCACAAAAATATCAACAAAGGGCGTAGACATACATATTACATATGTGTTAAGAATCTAATGGCAATTAACCGTGTGGATCATCTCAGTACTTGAATTTGACATAAGCTTAGTTTATTTTGCCAGACTTTTAAAGGTGTACCTTTACACACATACACATACACTTGCACGCATTTGCCCAACTACTAGTAGCCCAGGAAAAGAATCAGATTGCACTTTCCAACCTCTGTCAAGCACATCTTATTTGGTCATGTGAAATTCTTTCTGTGAGTACAACAGAGGTGATCATGTTTGCTGACACAGTTGGTGCTAAGCCATTCTCTGGCTCCCTCCCTCCACTCTGTTCAATGCCCTCATTGAACCTGGGGCCAACTTCTCAGTAGGTGGACAAATCCCATGGCTGGGTGGATGAGGGTAGGGAGGTGTGGAAGGAAACGAGGTTCCCATGGCCTTCTGCTGGACCTTCCCCTGGACTGACCTTCTGAAAATCTCCTTCTGTTTGCCTTCACCAGGGATGGCGGCCCTAGATAGTAAGGCTTCAGGGAAGATGGGAATGCGAGCAGTGGTCTATTACATGACGACCACCATCCTTGCCGTGGTGATTGGCATAATCATTGTCATCATCATCCATCCTGGGAAGGGCACCAAGGAGAACATGCACAGAGAAGGCAAAATTGTACAAGTGACTGCGGCGGATGCCTTCCTGGACCTGATCAGGTACGTCCTTACAAGCCGGACCCTTTGGCTATGTTTTTATCACTGAACCACTTCTCTGGGGGAGCTCATTAAACCCTAGAGAATGTGTCTGAGTCAACCGGCCTTACCAGGCTTGAAATGACAGCCACTTCTTCACTTCTTTCGAACAGACACAGAATCGGTTTTCTGAGCACATGTGAATGAGACCAGGGTAGCCAGGAGAAGAAGAGTTTGAGATCCCTGCTTCTAAGAGTCGGCATTCCTAAGGCACCTTTTTTTAAGCCAAATTTTCACTCAGATAAAGCCTGTTCTTGGGATTCTTCCAGTTTCTCACTTTGATCTCTGTCATTGTACATCACACACAGCAGCTTAGATCTGGATGAAAACTGTCCAAAGGTTCTGTTCTGGTGCCTTTGTAAAGAAAGCATTAGGCAAATCAGTAACAAAAGATTATTGTTGTTAATTGTATACCATAGAGGTGGAACCAACCCAGAGTTGACCCTCCAGCAGGTTTTCAAAGGCATTTCATCTCACCGGAGGAGATTGCCCATCCTTCTTCAACAGACCAGCTGGTGGATTTGAACCGAGTGCCTTCAGAATTTCAGCACAGCTTCTTGCTACTAAAAAGATTAAGGATAACTTATTTGCATACGTTCCATCCTTTGATTTCAAATGAGTAGAATATTTGAAATAGCCTTGTCTGTAGGGTGGTCTTGTACAGAACTGTGCAGTAAGTCAACGTTTGATCCTGGCGCCTTCCCACTCATACTCGCTCTATACTTGTATCAGACAGGATCTGGGGAAGGGAGAAGCAGGTTGCTTTTCCTTTATCAAAAGGATAAAGGATAAGTATTTGCAGAGATGGAGCTGAATAAAGGGCGCCTATAGGGCCTGGTAAGGCATCAGAGGACCAACAGTAGTAGCAAGTATTTTGTTACCAGCCTTAGTTGTGTTTTTATTGTTAAGTGCTAATGAGCTGACTAAAACTCAGAGAGACCCTTTGCACAACAGATGTGAACCTTGCCTATCTTGTGCCATTATCACCATCTCTGATACGCTCGAATCTATTGTTGCAGTCACGGTGCCAATCCTTCTTGTTAAAGGTCTTCTCCTTCTCTGACACTCTCCCTTCCCCAGTGTGATGTCCTTTTCCAAGGACTGGCCCCTCCTGACGATATGCCCAGAGTAGATGAGAAATGAAGTTTCACCACCCTTTCCTCCAAGGAGCTTCCTGGTTGTGCCTTCTCCTAGAGATATTCTGTCTCTTGGACCATGAATAAAGATGACAGAAGAAGAACTTATGTCTTTGAATTGCAGGGTCAAAGAAGTATACCAAATATCCCATGGACTTCCATCCTTAATTCTGATGAGCAAAGGAAGGAAGCTGTTAGAGCCTAGAAAGAGCCAGAAGCCTCTGTGTGGGGACTGAAGGTCTAATTTGGAGGAAATGAGCTGCTTCCAGTTCCAGCCTCTCAGGGAGAAAGCTGGGAAGAATATGCATCACCTCCTCTCTTCTGTTACCTCCTATTACCAACCCTTCAAGGAGCATGAAAATGAGAGAATCTTCATGCTCCTGGTCCTAGAGGCCAGTGTCCCAGGGTGCAGTGCAGGGTGGGAACAGGTCTAGGGGGCAGACTGAAGCTAAACCAACATGAACCTCTGAATGCCCACCTGCCCAGGGTTCCCGCACCATGCAGCCCCACCAAGCTGCACTTCCCTTTCCTCCTTTCCTTGCAAAGCAACTGGCAATCTTAGATACTCTAACCTACTCTATTGACTTCCACATTGATCACCGGGGAAGCCCACGCTGGGGACTTGATTTCCCAAGATGACTCCAGGCACAGATGTGAGACAGGAAGAGTCAAGGGAGAACTGAGAACCATGCGGACTTAGAGCAGAGCAGCTCTCAGTGTCCACTACAAGACTCCACAGCCTCTGTGTAAGCACACTTCAGCCCCCCATGGCTTCCACGTGGAAGCCCTTCTTAGAGAGTTAGTCACCAGAATTTGAAAGTCACAAGCCATATTACAACATTATCTCATACAAGACCATCACCCAATAACTACATTTTTATTTTGTTCATACAGTTAACTGATGCATTATAGTCTTTTTTGTTGGGCTGGCCCATCAGAGCATGTATGTTTCTGCACTTCTTTCCCTAAGGAGCAAATTTATTTACCACAAAGCCATTTGGGTCCCCTGAACTAATATGTCCATCAAAAGTTACCAAAACAAGCCCACAGATGGGAAGGAAGAGGCAACGAGCTAGCCTGGATGGTAGGAAGGAAATGATAGGCATTTTGGTAGGCATTTAATATAACCTTCAAATATGACTTTCCTAGGGCACAACTTCTCCAATCTTGAGTTCTCCAGTTGCCCTGAATTACCTTTCATCCTCTTGCAATCTTCAATCCTGGTACTTTAATGGACATGTCATGCAGTCCCTTCATCAACAGATGAGCCAACTGAGACTAAAGGGTTCCCAGGACATGGCCAAGTTCACACAACTGGTTGGAGACTCATCAACCAGCAGGTGCCCCTACCCCTGTCCCCTCAATGAGCTAGAACACTGCTCTGATGTAGTCTCTGGGGAAGCAGAAACTGTGCCACAGGGGTCTCAAATTAAAAAGCTGCACGCATTTGCCTCATTGGTCACCAAAGAACCTCAAGTGTTCCCTAAGTTAGCACCAACATCCCATCTCCTAGAGGGCCTAAGTGCTCAGAAGAGAAGAGAATTTCACAGCTTAATCCTGACTTTGATTCAGAATATTTGATCCCTACTAAATAGAAGAGTTTTTAATATACTGCTAAGAAAATGAACATGTTTGACCTAGAGAGTGTTAAACCAGGCTGTTCCTTGGAGGCAAGGATTCTGAAGCTTCGTCTGACATAATTTGGACATGTTACAAGGAGCAACTGGTCCTTGGAGATGAACGTCATGCTTGGGAGGGTGGAGGGACAGCGCAGGAGAGGAAGAGCCTCAATGAGATGGATTGATTCAGTGACTGGGGTAATGGGGGTCGGTGTATCAGAGACAGTGAGATTGGCAAGGGATAGAGCAGGGTTTAGGACTGTTGTACGTAGGGTCTCTATGAGTCACAGGTGACTCAACGGCACATAACAACAACAACTAGAAAAGGTAAGAGGTTAAAATTCACCAGCTGGTCCTAGGGAGAAGGAAGGGCAGTCTCCTCTCATTTGATTTAGATTTACTGCCTTTGAAAACCCAGTAGAGGATCAGATATGGGTCCGTTTCAGCCTGCTGCTACACAGCAACAAAATGGCAAATGAAACACTAAAACTGCTGCTTTTAAATTATGTCTGGTCAACCAAGATGCTTCTGACTAAAGGTATCTCCATTCTCACTGTGGTACTCATGGGAACAGTGGCTTGAGATCTTATATCTAATCAAAGTGTACATGATCTGAGAATGAGCTGAGCTTGGGACTTCTCGGGAAAATATGGGCCACATTTGTCCCAGTTCGAGACACGAAGCCTACAGAAACCTTTCATTCTCTCCCATAGGCTTAATACAGTCTTTACCTTAGATATATTGAGATGGCATTTAAGGGGCAAACTTATAACTTGGGAAGTTTTTCAAGTGACTGTTTGCTTTCTCTTGCAGGAACATGTTCCCGCCAAATCTGGTGGAAGCCTGCTTTAAACAGGTAAATGAGTGCTCTGCAGCCACGAACTCACCTTTGAAATTCTTTGGCATCTTCAGCACACCAAGCAGAATGACATTCTCTCTTTCTCCCAGCCCTCTCCTCACTGTTACTCCTTGACTGTGACTCACTGGCACTCCTTGATGACAAGATAGGAAGCACTAGGGTTGCCTGGGTGATCTGGTGAGAAGAGAGTGGCTCCTACCTTATCACAAACCAAAGCCCCAAACTTAAGGCCAACAAATCAAAATTGTACCCCACAGCAATCCTGGGAGTGGAACAGCCCCACAGCGTTTTCTCAGTTCTTTGGAAGTAAAGTGTATAAAGTTGTGTCTTCCTTCCACAGAGTGACTGGTGGATTCAAACTGTCCATCTGTGGTTAGCAAATGCATACTTTACCACTCCACCACCACAAACTCCCCCTTGCCTGTCTCTCTCTCGCTCTCTGCTTTCACGTCAGAACCCATCTTTCCCCCTCGTAGCCACTGGTGTATGTGAACCTCTAGCTTCACGACTCTCTGCATACTGTGTCTCTACCTGGTACTGAGGGCTTTTTAGCTGTGAGATGTTATGTGTCCTGCATACATAGAGGTCTTTGAGTCCTGGTTAATCAGAAGACCCCTTCCTTCCTCTCTGGCTTTGTTGCCTCCACCATGATGACCACCACTTGTTACCATGGAGCTCAGGTTTTGCTGCCTCCTGTTGTTGTTATTGTTGTTGTGAGGTGTCATTGAGTCGAGTACAACTCACAGTGACCCTAGGAGTAACAGACATGAACTCTGTCCTATCCTGTGCCATCCTCACATCCTCATCATCTCTGACACTTTCAAGCCCATTGCTGCAGTAATTGTGTCAGTCCATCTCTTTGAGGCTCTTCCTCTCCTTTACTGACCTTCCCAAGCATGTCTTTCTCCAAGGAACAGCCTTCCCTAGCAACATGTCCAAAGTATGTGAGATGAAGCTTCACCATTCTTGCCTCCAAGGAGCACTCTGGCTGCAGTTTCTCCTAGACGTACCTGTTTGGATTTTTGGCTACTGAACACTCAGTGCTTTTCCCAACAATACAACTCAAAGGCATAAATCCTTCTGTCATCTATAGAAAGACTTCACCTTGGGGACAGTTTTGGAACAGAAAAAAACAGCTACATACTGGTATATAGGAGACAGGGAATATGAGCTTCCCAAATCTGCTGCATTATCTTGGATCTTTATTTAGGAAAGGGACAGAACAGTGAAGTGTGAGAAGTTTTTTACAATATCTTCTCTTTTCAGGTGTTCTGATTAGTGACCGTTTCCCACACCAGTTTGTCTGGTCTTATCAATACTTGAGAGACAGGTGGTGCTATTCACATGTTCTGATGTAGAAGGAGTAAATCCTAGCAAAGATTATAGGATCCCATGGGAAAGGGCAGCAGAAGGGCTTTAGTTTCATAAAATCTGTTGCACTAAGAGATAGTCTTTTTCCTTTATGATGTTAAAAAATGTTAGTCTTACATCAATCCTTCCAGAACTATTACTGTTTCCATTAGAGTCCTTTTGCCTGAGGTCTTATAATGTATTAGTTTTCTGTAACTTTATTTTTTGGAGTTCTGATGGCCTAGTGGATAGGGAGTTCCATTGCCAAGTTAAAGGTGAGTGATTCAAATCCACCAGTTGCTTGGAAGGAGAAAGATAGTCAGTTTCCTCTTGAGTGATTGACAGCTCTGAAAGACCACTAGAGAGTCAGCATTGAGTTGGTTCCAACTCCATGGCAATGTGTTGTTTTTTATTGCACTGAGCATGGAAACTGCAAAGTAAGATACACTTACAACTGACTTTAATTGGAAAGCATCTTCAGGTTTCTGGATTTGATTGAAAAACCAGCAGGCAGTTTCTTGAAGTCATTAAGAAAGACTTAAGTATTAAAAAAATGCATAAGTCAGTTGCTGTGGAGTCTGTTCACGTGGTGAGTTGATGCAGAACTGTCCACCGTAGAGTTTTCAGTGGCTGGCTTTTTCCAAAGAAAATTACCAGGCCTTTCTTCCATGGCACCTGTAGACTGACTCAAGCCTCCCACTTTCCGGTTAGCAGCCAAGCATGTGAACCTGTTTTGCCACTCAAGGACATTTGTGTGTTCTCAAAGGGGGGGGGCTCTGTCAGAAGTTAATGACATCATGATTTTTTAAATGATTAATGGCACTATCATTTATTGACCGATAAATGGCACCATCATTCACTGAAGGTTGTATGTCCAGCACTAATATCACATGACTGATGTGATAAATATGGTGAGGGGAGAAAATAGATATGGTGAGTACAACTGTCATCATCGTATTGGTGAGAAAATGTATCTGAAAGCTCAGGTGGACTATGTACCAGGCCCAGAGTCTTACAGGTGCTTGGAAGACCCTGAATTCAAAACCATACGATGACTCCAGAGTCTGCCCCTTTTTGGCTCCTCTGTTACGAGTCCTAAGGACTTTTGCTAGCAACACAAAGGTACCTGGATCTAATTCACCAGCTGCTCTGAGAGAGAAACATAGTCTCCTCCTGTGCAATTTTCTGCCTCTGAAAACCCACTGGATGGTCAGTTAATGGTACTCAATAACTCCAGATCCTAGAAGGGTTTCCTCAGGACAGTGAGATACCTGGAGACAGGAGCGAGATCTCCACTTAGCCCCATACCAAGGGAACTCTTGGGTATCTGCTCTATGGATGTTGATTGCCTTCGAGTCAAACACGACTCATAGCAATGCTATGAACAAAAGGCCTGAAGCCCCTCTACAACTATTCACATTTATCAAAGTTCATAGAGTTTCCAGTGGCAAGTTGTTTAGGAAGTGGATGCCACTCATAAGTTTTATTTTAGGGGATAACATTTAGTAAAGTTTTCGCATCACCAGATTAATAAAGAATGCTTTCCTCCTTCCCCCTAAAGAAGAACAGGGAGAATTGGACATCTGGGCTAATTAGTAGTTCTCAAACCTTATTCCAAATGAATAAATAAAATAAATTACTGTCAAGTCAATTCTGACTCATGACAGTCCTGTGAGGCTGAGTAGAAATGTACCCCATGGGGTTTTCAAGGCTCTGACATTTTGGAAGTAGATTTGCCAGGCCTTTCTTCCCAGGGGCCTAGAGGAAGGTTCAAACTTCCAACTTTCTGATAAATGGTTGAGTGCGTAATCATTTGTGCTACATTCAGTGCTCCTACACTTCCCTAGATGGTGTCAGTTCACAGCACTGTAACTGCCAGCCCTCTGCTTGGGATTTGTGCAAAGCAAGCAAAATCCTGACCTTGTGGAGGATGAGGTTTACGACTAAGTCTCCCTTTGTTTCCCACTCTTAGTTTAAAAATTCTTGTTAAGGCTTTTTCTGCTAGGTACTACATGCAAAAACTACAAATTGAGTTGGTATCTTTTGGCTGTTTTGTTTTTGTGGTTTTGGGGGGTCTTGGGGTTGGGTTTTGTTGGTGTTTTTTTTTTTGTGGTGGTTTGTGTTTTGTTTTTGTTTTTTAAATTAATGGTGGGGGGAGGTCAGGAAGCCAAAATCTGATTTTTTACAAAATTCAAAACAGTGACCATAAATAATAAGTCCCTTTCAATCCCACCAGCATTCCCAGCCCCAGGGGACTGACTCTTCAGCCAGATTGGGGGGGGGGGGACACTGGATAATAACAAATATGCTGATTTCCAGATCTTTTGGATGGGAAGAGTGCTGACTCGTGCAGATTTATTGTATTTATCTTTGGATTTTGAAAGGGAAACAAATACGTCCTCCCAGATCTCTCTGGCTTAGAGTAGAAAACAAACAAGGTTGTGATGTCCCTGTAGGTGGCTGTATTTGCTTGCTAGAGCTACCTAACAAAATACCACAAACTGGTGGTTTAAAACACAGAAATCTCTGCACTCTGAGAGTTCCGGATGCTCCGAGTGTAGGTGGTACTAACTCCCTTTTAAGAAGCGTTTAGAGAAGAACCCTTGCTTATATCTTCCCATTTATGGGTGCACCTAGCAGTCCTTGTCAGTGGCTGAACCGCACTCATTTCTGCCACTGTCTCACTTGCCCATCTTTCTCCCTCTCTCTCTGTCTCTCTGTCTCTCTGTGTGTGTGTGTGTGTGTGTGTGTGTGTGTGTGTGTGTGTCAGTATTCATAACAGTTCTTGGTAGAGAAGTGTCTCACTGCTTAACTACTCACCAAAAATGTCAGGGTTTGAACCCAAAGAAACAGAAGACTTCCCATTCTGCTTCTATAAAGAATTACGGCCTTGGAAACCTTATGGGACAGTTCTACGCCATTGTTTAGGGTCCTTATGAGTTGAAATTGGCTGGTAATACACAACAACAACATAAACACAATAATGACTAGATTTAGTGTCTACCCTGTCTAGTGTAGGGAGCTCTGGTGCCCTCCTTGGGAAAGGAATTGGCTGCCAACCCAGAGGCAAGTGGTTCAAATCCACCAACCACTCCATGAGAGAAAGATGGGAAATCTCCTATGCAATTTACAGCCTCTGAAAACCTGAAAGGTCAGCTATGAGTCAGTCCTGACTCCATAGCAATGAGTTTGAGTTTTTTAAATGTATCCTGTGGTCTCAGCTTGATCACGTCCACAAATCCTGTTTCCAAATAGCATATTCAGAGTACTAAACAGAAGCATAGCGTGCAGGGAGCTGTGCTGCTAAAGCCGTAGACTATACTTCTCTGGCAGTTTGAGTCCAAAAGCTGCTCCACAGGAGAATTTCCTCTCATGTGTTTTACAGCCTCTGAAGTCACGCTTGGGAGGGTGGAAGGACAACATAGGAGAGGAAGACCCTCGATGAGATGAATTGACTCAGTGACCAGGATAATGGGAGTGGGTATGTCAGAGACAATAAGATTGGCAAGGGTTAGAGCAGGGTTTAGAGCTGTTGTACACAGAGTCACTATGAGTCGCACGCAACTCAATGGCACATAACAGCAACAACAACTAAGTCCTCTAGGGGTAGCTCTGATGGTCTAGTGGTAAGAAGTTGCACTACAATCCCAAAGGCACGTGGTTCGAGGCCACCAGCTGCTCTGTGGGAGAAGGATGGGCAATCTCCTCCCGTGCAATTAACTGCCTCTGAAACCTCACCAGAGGGTCAGTTATGGGTGGGTTCCCACTAGAGAGTCCACCACAACAAAGTCCTCTAGAGGGTCAGGTAGGAGTCAGTTCTGACATGATGTCAATAAGAAGTGTTAAGATTTAACTGATACATAGATTAGGTAAATGCACAGAAACCAAGTTTATTAGTGGTTATCAAGGGCCGGGGAGAGAAGGTGGAAGTCATCTGGGCTACCGAGTTTCTGTTTGGGATGACGAAAAACATGGACAACCCATGGCAACACTCATTCATGTCACTGAAAAGTATACATTTGAAAATTGTGACAATTGCAAACTTTTCTACATTTTTTACCACAATAACATTAAAATATAATATCAAGAATGCCTTCAAAACTGAAGCTTTCAATCTTCTTGGAAACCTCCAACCAGCATAGTTCCTGAAGAATGTTGTCAGTATCACCAGCCCACATTTGTGTAGCAATGCTTTGTTGTTGTCGTGTACCGTCTAGTCAGAAACAACCCATAGCTGACCCACTAGCAGGTTTTCAGAGGCAGTGTATGACAGGGGAGTTGATTGCCCAACTTTCTTCGTGGGAACCAGTTGGAGGATTTGAACCACATACCTTCAGGTTGGCAGCGCAGCTCCTTAAACACTAGGCCACCAGAGCCCCCATTAATGAGTATTTTAATTTATGGTTGGTTGTTTTTAAATCACACTGTAATCATTCTTACCACAATTTCAGAAGAAAGCAAAAACATTTGTGAATATGTAGTCCAACATCTATGCTCAGCTCTCTGTTTCCTGTCCTGTGATTTTGTGTCTATGATGAGTTGGCAGTAGAGTTTTCTAGCAAAATAGGCAGGTGAGCAGCTGGTCCTTGCGAGAAGGCTGGGCAGGCAGTCTCTTCCCATTGTGATTCCCAGCCTCAGAAACCCAATGTCAGATGGCTATGTGTTGGAATCCATCTATTGACAGTGAGTTTCTTAGGAACATGATGAATAGTGGACAGGTAGACAGTTTTGATACTTTCTGTAACACTATTCTCTGAACAAGATAATATATTGTATTCTAGAAAACATTGACAACAGGAAAGTACAGAGAAAGTGAAAATCACCTTTGTTTCCTGTCGTGGTCTTTTTTTTCCTCTCTAAGTTTAAAACCAACTATGAGAAGAGAAGCTTTAAGGTGCCGGTGGAGTCCAACGAGACGCTTGTGAGCGCCGTGATAAACAACGTGTCAGAGGCCATGGAGACACTCACTCGCATCAAAGAGGAGCTGGTCCCGGTCCCGGGTTCTGTGAACGGCGTCAACGCCCTGGGTCTGGTCGTCTTCTCCATGTGCTTTGGCTTTGTGATTGGAAACATGAAGGAGCAAGGACAAGCCCTGAAGGATTTCTTCGATTCTCTTAACGAGGCCATCATGAGGCTGGTAGCAGTGATAATGTGGTACGTATCTCCATGTGTCCTAGTTGCTCCATGTGGTGATGGAGAAGAGTATTCAATATCCCATGGACTGTTCAAAGAACAAGTAAATATGTCTTGGAGAAAGTGTATCCAGAGTGGTCCTTGGAGGCAAGGATGATGAAACAGCATCTCACATACTTCAGGCATGTTGTCAGGAGGGTCCAGTCTTTGGTAAAAGACAGCATACTGGGAAAGGTAGAGGGTTACAGAAGGAGAGGAAGACCCTAAACAAGACAGATTGGTATGGGAACTGTAAGAAAGAGCTTGAGTGTATCAGAGGTCAGGAGGATGGCACAGGACCAGGTAAGGTTCAGATCTGGTATTCACAGGGTCGCTATGAGAAGTCAACAGCAACAACTCTGTGCTCTATAAACCAGTCCCCAGCTTCAAACAAGCTGCTTTCAACTCATGTCAACTTCACGAGTGTTAGAATAAAACTACAGCCCACAGGGTTTTCCATGGCCCTTTTTTTAGAAGTAGGGATGATCAGACCTATCTTTCAAGCTGCCTCTGGCCAAATTGAATCTTGGTCAGTAGTTGACCACCACCCATCCTTGTCTCTAGGGAGCACTCTGCTTATAATTCCTGACTTATTGATTTGGTTTTTGCCAGTTCAAGGGATTTTCAATACTCTTCTCTGACACGATAGTTCAGAAGCATTGATTCTTCTTCAGTCTTTCTTATTCATTGTCCAAATTTCAGATCCATAGAAAGCAATTGGAAATACTATGGCTTGAATTGGTTGCACCTTAGTCTTTAAACTGATATCCTTGCTCTTCAGAATTTTGGAGATGTCTTTGAGAACATCTGGCCAACTTCTGGAAGAGATCCACATTTTTGTCCATTAAAGAAAAGGGAAAAAAAAGATGCAGCAGATCATGGAAATTATCAAACATTATCATTAATATCATATACATATAAACTCCTGCTGAGATTATCAAAAAACAACTGAAACAGTACATTGACAGGGAACTGCCAGAAATTCAAGGTGTGTTTAGGAGAAGCGATGACATAATGAATTTCATTACTGATGTCAGATGGGTCTTGGCTCAAAGCAGTGAGTACCAGGTTGACTCTCTGTGTTTAACTGACCATGCAAAGGCAGTTGACAAATTATAGCTAACACTGAGAAGAATGAGAATCCCAAAACTCTTTTTTTTTTCTTTCTATAATTATATTTTATTAA